TTAAAAAGTTTGAGGAATATTAATTTTTTCAAATTTTTCAAAAAATATTTAATATTAAAAAATTTTGACTAAAAATCGCGTCGGGTCTGTCAGACCCATGCGACTCACAGAAGGTTAACAAAACTACAGAATGGGTGGAAAATAACTAGGCATTAAGAAATCACTAAATTTTTTATATGTATCGAGTAAGTTTGGTTAAAATTATTATACTTCTACGAGATTAAATGGAAATACGGATGCATACTTTAAAGTTCAATGTGAGCGCGGCGCCATCCACCAATCAGAGCCGGCCCTACCATAGGGCGAAAAGAGCAGCCGCTCCAGGCGCTAAGTCCTAGGGGGCGCCTCAGTGGTAAAGAAAATTAAAGGGTATAAATTTGGGGGCAACCAAGGGCAGTGGCGTAGTGAGGGGGTGCATCAAGCACCGGGCGCCACTCGCAGAGGGGCGCCCAAATGGTCTCCAAGACAAACTATATGTGTTCTGGAGGGGGCGCCAATAAAGTGTCGTGCCACGAGCGCCAGTTATGTTCGCTACGCTACTGACCAAGGGGGCGCCATAATAGGATCTCGCTCCATCCTAAAACTTGCCTCGGGCCGGCACTGCCACCAACATTCTTTCTTCAAATCGTGATGTGGATGGACGGGCACTTCTCTGTGCGTCCTCAAACAAACCTGTGGTCATTTTAATTTCGAATGACAATTCTTGATTGTTTCCGGATGGAATGTGCCATTTTTACTGTATGCAACAATCTCTGCAATTACTGATTTCCACAGCTCATAGTGTGCAGCAATTTGCGTTCACTCTCAAACAGACCGTCTTTCTTGCCTCTGTGTGCCTGGTCTCTCCTGGTCACTATCCACACCAATGATGAAGGAATTATAAAACTCCATTCATTATTGTACACGGATATTACATTTTATTAAGATTATCTTAATATTACAAAAAATTATAGCGATTTCTTAATGCCTAGTTACTTTCCATCTACCCTGTAACTTTCACTATATTGCTAGGGCAACTTTCCCCACCTCCCAGAAATGTATTTCATCCAAAAATATCTGGAAGGTTACGCGAATATTGCTGGACTTTTACTCCATACTTCGTAAAAAAAAAGTAATAACCGATATTTAAATTATAGGATAAATAGAATATAAACTCACAGCATATTCATTCGGATGTTCAGGACAGTAAATCTAAAAGCAAAAAAATATATATATATAGTCTATATATATGTGTAAAAAACAATTAAAATCTGCTCTGATTTCGTTCCCATAATAACAGACAGCATAGGTTGCCATTAAATGGGCAATATATAAGAGGAGTCAAACTTTAATCTTTTGTTAAGGATTAAATCTATAATAAGGTAAAAACTTGAATCTTTAATCACCTCCAAAACCTTAATTAATTTTATTTTCTCAACACGAAAAATTCATATATAAGATACATAAAATCTATTTTAAAATAATTAAATGAATAAATATATATACCTGTACATTATATGGTCGAATTACTGCAGCCTCCACAGTAACTATGTAAAGAATTATAATAATTTTTATTAAATTATATGTTAAATAATTAAAAAAAAAATATAATTAAACTTACCAAAAATCAAAACTAGAAGAGATAAAGGTCGAGCCATCATGATTCTCTTATTATCAAACCGTGTTTGTGACTGTTCCTCACTATTCAAGTATAATATAACCTTCAGGTATAGAAAAATAAACTGTAGCTGAACAAATTCGATTTATTTAAACTAAAATTATTGGTCGATTCAATTATTTATGAGTATGCAAATAGCAAACATACAACATCCTACTTCAGATCATTTTAAATGAATTTTTAAAATGTTTTTTTAATTAATTAATAATAATTGCGAAGATCTTAAATTAGGTGAAATAGTTAAAAAAAACAATGAACGAGCAGACATACAGACGGGTATTGATTTTCGTATAAGTCTAAAATTGGGGTAGCTTATATTTAAATAAAGATATCTTTATACACATAAACGCAAATTTGTAAAAGAATTAAAGGGGGTGAGGATGCGGAGGAATAAAATCTAGAACATTTCTTAATTGTAATTGAAAATAATATTATATTATTAAATTGAAAACATTAAAATTCAGTTTCAATGAAAGTAAACAGAGTTTTTAATATGAAGGTTTTGTTTATTCTATAACAAAAATATACTGGTAAACATATAGATTTATATTGTATATTAATAGAAGTCCTATATACAGTTTCCTGTATAACTAATTTTGGAATTATCAGAATTTAGTGGTATGTAATCATGTAAAATTGTTGTATTAGTAAATATATATCAAACGATTAGTGTGTTTAGTAACTTCTTAAGGAAAGATTAAATGTATTTAAAGTGTATACTTGTATAAATAATGATTAGAGTATTTACTGTGTGTACTGTACATAAAAGAATTAGCATAGCAAGTAAATGCTCAGAAAGGAGGAAAAAGAGAAAATTATCCTACCCAAGGTAATGGGAGCTCGTATACAATGTCATATAAAGGTAAAAAAATATTTGAACGACTCCCCCCTATCTTTTCACCCCTCGACTTTTAACCTATAAAATTTATTAACATAAATGCCTCTAATATGCAAACATCTTTACAAAATATCAGAAAATTTGGACAATAGATATAGGATATATAAGAACTAGTGTGTATTTGATGAGTATATAAACTATTCAAGTATACTATTATGTTACAGTTTATGGGGGAGAAAGGATTCGTTTGTAACCGAGGAAAATTTTTGACGACGTTTGTCATTCATTTTTCTCACCATTCATCACAAAAGTATTTGCTAATAGTTTGAACTTTTGACCTTATGACGTAATTAGAGGAAGGGAGTAGATATTTTTGATTTCTGATGAATTGTAATGATGCTGGCAGGTGGGTCAGAAAGAAGCATAGTTTTGCAGATAAACGGTTTCATTATATTAAAAAAATTAGTTTTATAATTAAATTTCTGTTTAATTATCGATGCAAAAAAGCTCCAAAAATTTAATTTGAATAAATAATGCATAATTAATGGAGGAAATTAATAAATCAGTTAAGTGTGTGGATCCTTTTACAAGTAAATTACCCAAATTTTATAAATCATATTTTAATTAATTTTTAATTTGTAAAATTAGAAAAATATTGAAATGATTTGAGTCAAAATAGATCTTATTTTCTATATTATCACCTGAAATATAAGTAAACAAATGCGTTTAATAGAAGCAACTGTTTAAACTAAATATAAATCAATGTTTATCTAAATTTAAAAGTTGAATTATAGCTATTTAAAATAATATATATGAACATGATTCCCGGTCTATCTCTCCACCCTCTCGACTTATAACCACCAAAATTTAACAGAATCAACCCGACTAACACAGAAACCTCTCTGCAAAATTTCAGAAAATTTCAACCGAAAGCACAGGAGTTAAGCTTGAAAGTGAGTGAACAAATTCATACATACTGATATCCATAAATATAAGAAAAATTATAGAAAAATTATGTAAAATGTATTGGAAATAAGAAAATCTGTACTTTTTATTGTTTTATTGCATTTTATTAAGTTTCCATATGTCCATCATCATTAGTAATACAACGGGTAATACGATTTTGTAGTTCTGTAAAAAAAAACATTTTCAAAATAGACCCCCTATAACACTATAGATAATTTTGCGTTGTATGAATTCCATGTTGTACGAGTCACTTAGATTTTACACATATCTGAGCCATTCACAGCCCAGCACACGTATTTGTAAAATCTAAGTGACTTGTACAACATGGAATTTATATAACACGGAAGTATCTACAGTGTTATAGGGGGGTCTACTGTAATGCCTGAAATCACATTAGTTATTTTAGCTTTCAAGTCTTCTAACGGTCGAAGTTTGGTTGCATATACTATTGTTTCTACGTGTGTCCATTAATAATATTATCCATAATATTAACAATTAAAAGATAAACGCTGTAGCTACGTAATCCTATTTTCATATCGGAGTTATTTTTCGTAACGTCTGAAGCTTATTCGCTTCTCGCTTGCAATGTCAATGTGTGTAATCAGAAGCAAAAATATCTGAGAATCAATATTCAGAAATAAAAAATCTATTCGTCTGGTTTTCATTATTTTATTGTTTATACTCTAATAAGAGCGCTCTTTTCATACAATCCTTCCCAACGGCCGAGCGGTAAGGTAGTATTCTACCACTCGGGATCGACTCCATGATGGGAAAGTAATTCCGAACCGAAAAACACCAGAAATTAAAATAAATGGTGTATTAATAATCTAATTTAAAAAATAATTGAAAAAATTACTCCGAAATTAATGTTTGATTTAAAAAATTATATAACGTTAAAAAAAAATTTAATAAATTAGAACCATTTTGTTACTTCTTTCACTAGGCGGCGCCACTATGACAAGTGGGGACGTTGTATTTTGATTTTGTGTGGAAGATGTTATTTTTTTTATTTTTCAGTTTAACGAAGTGAAAAAAAAAACAAATTCCCGTTATCCATGGATAAAAATTGCTGTAGGACATTAGTAATTTGGGAAATCGTTCTTGATTTATGTTATGATCTTCGTTATTAAGACATAAACTATGGATGCCTGCGAGAGGCAGAAAAAACTTCAAGCTGGTAGAGAAAAAGTAAGTTCTATCAATGAATAATGCTATATTTAGCACGTATAAGACCACAAAGGATCCATTTCAAGTTATAAAATAAGTAAAAACATCAAATTAATCAATTACAACAATAAAACGTGCACTAAAATCAATCAGTTTCACATATATACATAAAAATTAATCAATTTCAAAAGAAATATTTCCATGAAAAGCATTGAATTAACATGCACATGATTGATTTTCCACAAGAAAATACGAAATTTATCTACCTTATCCTTTGATTAACTGCCGATAAAGATTGCTGTCGGCACAAATATATTTACATTACTGTGATGTAAGAGGTTATGAATGGACATTACATTATACATTCTGGATACAATACAATGATAATTTAGTAAAATAATATGTGAGTCAATGTTTAAATACAGCAAAAATAAAGTTAACCCATTTCTTTTGGTATGTTGCCAAATTTGTAAGTGCAAAACAAGTAGCCTATATGAGGATGTTCCTGCTGTTTAGAAATCCTGTAGGAAGTTCTTGTTTATAACTCTGTAAGGAATTAGGGATTAAAGTGTGGTTCGTGTTACTAGATTATATTAAATTGTTTGTTTTTTTTTTATGTTAAGCAACTGTACAGGATATAGGCACCATCCTTTAGTGAGGATAAACTTGTCATAACATAATTAATGTATAAACAGATGATAAGTATTTGTAAGCACAATGTGCATTTATTTTGACAATTGGACAGAAGAAAGAAACATGAAAATTAAGAATAATTACTGAAAGTATAGATAAGATTTCTAATTGGAAATTTGATCACTTGTTGTAAAATTTGCATCTCAAAGAAGCATGTGAATTGTTGTTTATGTTAAATCCATCAATTGAATAAATGCATGTGCTTAAAACATATGATTTTTAAAATATTACAAATAATAAATAAATTGTTGATATATTTGTACAGGATTTTGCTACATTTCATACATATGGAAATAAAGTAGAATAGTCAGTCTGTTATGGTTATGTTTAAAAATTATGTTCACAAGTATTCATGAAGAATTATTAAGCAAATATAACAAATACTAAAGTTCTCTTTATTTGAAGTTGAACTTGTACTTGAAAGTAATTTTGATAAAAATTACTTACAGCTATAATTTTTAATCTTATGTATTTATATTTATTTTAATCATATTTTGGATATTAATATGAAACACTTTTGTTTATTTTTAACTTTAAATCATTTTTACAAGTTACAAGATACAGTAGAGTCCAGGAAATTCAACTCTCAATAACTTAATGTTCTTTCATGCAGAGACATAGTCTACCATAGAGATTAGGTTTTCTCATGTGGAGACGTACTGTACTAAAACCAGTGATAAGTACTGTACTGTACATCAGATTTTCTTTGATGTGTCTCTAAAGAAAGTACAGTAGTATGTATCCCTTATTCCTGGTTTCTCATTCCATAGTTCTAGTTATCTGTAATCAACCATGATCCAAAAATAATAAAAGAAAAATTCTAGAATTAAACAGTTCATAGGCCTAAGTTTTAAATTGTATGCCATTATGAATAGAATGATGAAATTCTTTTACTGTCCTTGGCGAGACTAGAATAATTTTTTCCATCATATCTAAGCTGCATATCAGTGTTTCTCAATGGGGGTGATATTGCCCCCATGTGGGCGTTTTTCCATGTTGAGGGGGTGATTTGTCACAATTTATATTTTGGGGGGCAAAAAAACAATTTTTTGGGCGATATAGTAAAACATTATATTAAGATTAATTAAATATTTTATTCATTATATCGTACAATAATTAAACAAATAATATTATACTAGTCACTAGTCTACTCAATGCAGTATGAATTTGGCATTAACCCTGGCCCACTGTAACGCACCGTTTATGAAAACAAAAAGGGGTTACACAATAGTAGGTTCAAGTACCAGGCCTGGACTTTCCAAAATAAAAAAAAACCAATAATTTTCACAACCACATATAATAATTCACAATAAATATAAGGTTTATTATCTTGACAAAAAAAACAATAATGGGTTAATTGTCCCAACAGTAAGTTAAATAATTGAACACTGGAAAAGTAGCAACAAAAATCAATAATCAAAGACAATAATACTTATAATATCCAACTCAACAAAACTTATCTCTATCTCAAAAATTATGATTTTACAGCAAAAGATACTATTTCCTCTAGTTTATCACTGCCGTCGCTCCCACAGTGGTCACCTGAAGTTTCCTACCTTTGTCGTGGATGTGCCACCTTTTATTCTACCTCGAGTGCAGCTCCGCACTGTCTTAATTTACATAACATGTCGTTCCAGGATCAGGCACAGATGCAAATTAAGTTTGCTTTTTCTTTCATGGTCACTGGTGCTTAAGAGTTTGTCTTTAACAAAAAAAAGAACTCCAAAAAGAAAATAATTAAATAAAAATAACGCCCCAAAACATAAAATAACGATCGGACATTGACTCCTTTACACCACGGCATCGGAATTTTGAAGTGAAGGGGACGATACTACGTTGAAGGGGGCGACGATTTGTTAGAGGTTGAGAAACACTGCTGTATATGCTACCCACTTATTAGTCACTTAGATCACTTAGTAGTAGTCTGAGTTATCAAATTGATTGTTGCATTATTACAGTGTTTAAGTGATCCTTATTTTACTTAAAGGCTTCAGAGTGAGCAAAGTAGTGATGCTGGCAATTCTTACATGTTGAAGAGAAGCCATAAAATGCTTCTTTTACATGAAAAGATGAAAGTTCCTGACTTAATAAGGAAAGAAAAAACTTTTATGCTGAGACCACATTCACATACTATATAGACATATCTATGTATCAAAGATATCCATTGGATACTGGAAGTTTGGAATGTGTCCCTTGGATATGGGAGCTACTGTAATTGAGGTGTGAGACCTATTTATATGTTGCTGAATGTTTGTGTATCTTTTGAAAAAATGTGTAGGAGCATCATTTAGCTGAAAACTCATTTCTCAGATTATTGGCACATCTTCTATAGTTGATTGCATGTTTGGATGGAGATGGACTACAGTACAATTTGAGTCAACTCAAAGCTTCAACAGTTCATAAATTTTAATACATGCATGTTATAAAAAATACTTTAGATAAAAATATTTTTCTTTTCTGTATAATCTAACAATGTACACTTTTCTAAAGAATTCCATTCGAAATTTTAAAGTTGTTCTCTGTCTGTCACCTCTATAAGAGAGGTTGAGGAGTGATGTAATTATATCATTGTTAAGAAGTACCTTTGAAATCATAAAAATGAAAAAGACAATTTGAAGTTGTTCTGGAGTTATTAGCTTGTAACACTTTACATGGGACATCTTGTATAAGGTTAATTGCAATGAAACTACTATCAAAGTACTTCTGTTAAGGTGAATTACTATTTGGTTACCAAACTTCCTTACATCTAGAAGTTATTTTTTCTCTTTGAAAAATGATAATGATCATCTGTTCTTAAAACAAATTTTATAACAAATGCAAATGTTTTCGTTTATGTTGAGTGGGTATCATCAGGCAAACTAATCACTAAAAGCTGAAACAAACAGGGATTGCCAAACACGTGTGCAGAGAGGAGGTGACCTAAGAGGAGAGAAATGGGGAGGGGGAGGATAGTAAGATTTATAGTTTTAAGAATGACTTTCACTTATTATTATTATTTTTTTCTTACATAAATGTAAAATATGAAAAAATTATAATTTTCTTTCTCTTCTGACTTTTTGGATATTATATAACTTCAAATTTTAAAACATTAAACCAATAATGACTAAAAATTTTTAAAGTTAGAAAAGGTATTAAAAAAAAACAGTTTGCAGAGAAAAAACTTTTTTCTCTGCAAATTGTTTTTCTGCAAAGGTTACGGGCAGAAGGCCCTGATTAGCTGTATATAAACTTTTGATGCAAACCAGAAGTCCTGTTATTACAATTCGGAAATTTTCCCCTGAATGGAGTTAGATACAGTAGAGCCTCGATGATCTGACTCAATTGGGGACTGGGGTTGGTCGGATAATTGAAAAGTCGGATAACCGTAAAGTATGAAAAAATCCATTATTAGTGTAGTATATTATTATATCCCATGTAATTAGTATATTAGTATATCGCTATTAACTTACTTTGCATTGAATTTTCATCGATGTTAAGCCTAACAAAAATTTTTTAAAATAATAATCGTTGCTATTGTAGCATTAAAAATTAGAAAATTAAGCCTCGTTTTAAATACTTGCTCTCTTTCATGGTTGAATGAGCTAAAACACGTAAAAATAATATTAAAGTAGCCAAGACATAGCCAAATATTGTAGCGCCACATCACTAGCGGACATTTGAAATTTGCCGACTAGGACGGTCGGTTAACTGAGGTGTCGGTTAATTGGGGGTCGGATAATCGAGGCTCTACTGTAGATGACTGGCACAACTTTGTTGCTAACAGAAAAGTATGACGCACAGAGGCAAAACACTACAGTACTAATTTAAGTTGGAGAGCATATATTTTAAATAAATTAAAAATATGATTAAAAATGGCAATGGAGTTCATGTCATAATAAATAATTACTCATTTTGATTAAATTATTAATGTAATTTGGTGTAAAGTTTTGTGTGCTGTCATGATGAATAAGTTTTAACAATTAGATATTAATTTTATAATAGATTTGACTGCTTGCTTTACAACTTCTCTCCAGCTTTGACATCTGTTTTGAATGTATAAAATACCATATTTAAGTGTCATATGCTTGAGTTCGTCATCTGTTTTGTATTATATAATTTTAACTGTATTTTTAGATATATGAGTTTAATTTATAATGTTGTTCCTATGCTAGATAATAGCTCACGTAATGAATGTATTCCAGAAACTAATTAGTTCATAAAAGTAAATGTTTACTGTGTGTGTAATTAATATAGAAATTTTAAAAACAAAAATTATTGATTCGGTGGAATTTAAATGCACAATTTCTTTATATTGTATGTGTCTGCTTAAACATAAATAACATTACTAA